CGATCCAGGGAGAGAGGTGGCTAGTGGTTGGGGACCTCAATGTCGCTATCTCCCCTTTTGAAAAGCAAGGAAGATGCCCTTTAAGGAATGAAAATGTTGCCCCTTTTAAGTACTTCTTGGCTCGAAATGCTCTGGTTGATCTTGGTTTCTCAGGCCAAGTCTTCACTTGGAGCAACAAACAGCAAGGAACTGAACTGATTAGAGAAAGACTTGATCGGGCTATTTGCTCGACGTCTTGGAGAACAACCTATGAAACGGCTACTGTTTACCATGAAGACTTTGTTGAGTCGAATCCAACAAGTCAAGCTCACTGCACTCCCTTCAGGTTCGACAAGAGGTGGAGGGAGAGTGAAGAATGCTGTCGAATTATTATGGATAGATGGACGAGAGGGGGGAGTACCAATAATATTCTGATGGATTGCCAGAAGGATCTTCAGAATTGGGCTAGAACAGACAGACGAAGGAAATTACAAAGAGAAAGAGACATTAGACAAAGACTTCAATCCCTACAAGGGGCAAGTGGCTCCCCGGACAAGGCTTCGGTAGAAAGGGACCTCCTTCGAGAATTGGAATCCATCTGGACCTCGGAAGAGAGTTTTTGGGCACAAAGATCCAGAATCTCCTGGCTTCAGGATGGGGACCAGAACTCAGGCTTCTTTCATGCCAGTACCATAAAAAGGAAGAACAGGAATCGCATCACCAAGATGAAGGGCGTGAATGGAATATGGATTGATAATGCTCAGGAGTTGAAGAATCATGCCTCTGATTACTACCAAAACCTTTTCACAACCAACGACAGACACTGTGACCCGAGGATCTTGGAGGGATTCCCCAGGTTGGTGACAGAGGAATACAATATTGGCTTGTGTGCACCAGTGGGCAAGGATAAGATCCGCAAGGCAGTTTTCCAACTTGGAGCAAACAAGGCTCCAGGTCCCGATGGCTTCCCGGGCCTTTTCTTCAAGAATTACTAGAATACAATCGGGGATTCCTTCTGCAACGAGATTACCAATTTTTTTCCTGACAGGTCTCTTGCCCGAGAACTGGAATGACACTTTCATCACCATCATCCCCAAAGTGGAAGCGCCCGAACAAATCAGCCAATTCAGGCCGATTAGCTGTTGCAATTTCAGGTATAAGGTCATCACCAAAATCATGACAAACAGACTACAACCTCTACTGCCAGAACTGGTCAATGAACTTTAAGCGGCATTCACAGGAGGGAGGCAAATACAAGATAATATCATAATTGTACATGAGGTACTCAACCATTTCAAAAAGAATAAATCAGGAAACCGAAAGGAGATGATGATGAAGTTGGATATGAGGAAGGCTTACGACCTGGTCGAATGGGACCTCCTGATCACCCTTCTCAAGGCTTATGGTTTCAACGAGGTCTGGTGTGGGTGGATTTTTGCCTGCATTTCCACAGTCTCTTTCAATGTACTCCTCAATGGGGAACCAACTACTGATTTCAAGCCATCTAGGGGCATCCGACAAGGGGATCCCTTATCCCCCCTCCTCTTTATTCTGATGTCGAATGCACTGTCCTTCCTGGTTGAAAAGGCTGTCATGAATAATGGGATCAAAGGCATCAAGCTCAATAGAACGTGCACTACTCTCTCCCACTGCTTATTTGCAGATGACACAGTTATTTTTGGAGATGCTTCTTGCGAGGAAGCGGGGAAGATTTTGGACATCCTCCAAGAGTATAGCGGTCACCGGTCAAGAAGTCAACAGGGACAAGTCATCTTTGTTTTTTAGCCACAATGTCACAAGTGAAGACCAAGGAAGGATTATCCAGGAGGTTGGGTTCGATCCTAGTAACTGCCAATCCAGCTATCTGGGGGTGCCAACAGTGTGGGGTAGGTCAAAGAAAGAAACATTGAATTACCTCCTCCAACGCATGGAATCAAAAGGAGAGGCCTGGAAAAGCCTCCTTCTCTCACCAGGGGAAAAGAAGTCTTGCTTAAAGCGGTTTTTCAAGCGGTCCCTACCTACATCATGAGCTTGTTCCTCCTCCCAAAGAGCACAACAAAGAAAATGGACTCAATGCTTAAAAGCTTCTTCTAGGGAGGCTCTTGTTAGCAAACGGTATATGATCCACGATTGAACCTATCCCAACAACTCGAGTTATTGGGATCAACTGGTTCTTGACATGGTATCAGAGCTTTCTGTGACCGTGAGGTCTTCTGTTCGATTCCCGGTGACCCCCATCTGTTTCTGTTAAGCACACGGTGTCCGGACCTGTGCCTGTCCAAACTCCAAGCCTATCTGAATGGCTTGAGTTTGAAGGGGGGTGTTAGCAAACGGTATATGATCCACGATTGAACCTCTCCCAACAACTCGAGTTATTGGGATCAACTGGTTCTTGACAGCTCTATGGTGAAACGAACTATTCACTGGAGGGCTGGACATGTTCTGTACGCACCAAAAGAGGAGGGAGGGCTCGGGTTTCGACCTTTCCACACCTTCAACATGGCACTTTTGGTGAAGCAGGCTTGGAGAATCCTCACCAACAAGGATGCCTTGTGGGTCAAGGTTTTGAAAAGCATCTACTTCCCCAACTCGGACTTTCTGAATGGAATAAAGGCAGCAAAGCCTCGTGGATTTGGTCCAGCCTTTGTGAAGCAAAATCATGGATGAGACAAGGGCTAATTAGAGTTATTGGTAATGGTAAATCAACGAGGATCTTTCATGATCCCTGGAGATTCGACTAGCAGGCCCCCTCCTTCAATTCGACTGGAATGAAAGTACTACTGTGGACTCTTGGATTGATGAGGTGTCGAGGGAATGGAAGTTCGATCTGCTTGCTAAATTCCTCAGCCAGCATGATCTGAATCATGTGGCAGCCATCCCTATTGGACTGGATTCACTTGAGGACTTTTGGGCATGGAGGTTCACAAAGCAGAGGTCCTTCACGGTTAAATCAGCATTCACTCACTTTCATAACAGAACCAGACACTACCAAGGACAGGCTGAGGACTTCTCCGAAGAGAGCAAAAAAAGGTGGAAGTGGCTTTGGAGCCTCTCGATCCCTCCGAAGCTGAAGTTCTTCATTTGGAAGGTGACCAGAGGGGCTATGGCGTCCAAAGAAACCCTCTTTGCCAGGAAGTGCGCAAGCTCGAAGACTTGCCCGATCTGCGATTGCTCGTCGGAATCTATCTTTCATTGCATGTTCACCTGCCCCCATGCTGCTGAGGGGTGGAACCATGAATGGCCTTCCTTGCCCAGACCTGCCCCTCTCTCCTCTGTCCTGGTGTGGCTGGACTCTCTCCGCCAGATGTACCCGATCAGCTCAATTCAGAAGATCATCTTTCTCATGTGGCAGACATGGAAAGCAAGGAACGAGAAGATTTTTCGGGGAACTCCTCCTTGGCCCCCAGCCACCATCACGAAGGCAAATTCTGATCATCTCCAGTGGACCACGTGCCCTAGGATCCACCCCATTGGTTCCCCATCAACTCAGCCCATTGCACCCCCTGAGCACTCTTCACCACCGCCAGGTACTCATGACTTTGAAGTACACTGCGACGGATCGTTCTTTGACGATTTCAGAAGGCGGCTTATGGCGTCGTTGTTTTGAACAGCCATGGTCAAGTGTGTGATGGTAAAGCTGAGTCTATGCATTGTTTCTCCCCAATTGAAGCAGAAGCCTTGGCCCTTTTGGAGGGCTCCCGATTGGCTGCCTCGCTCACAGCCCCCTGCCTGGTGAAGTCGGATTACCTGCAGCTGATACATGCTATCGATCATCACCCCAAGACATGGCCATGGCGAGCGGCTGCAAGGCTAGGTCTTATCAAGCTTATTCTGGATAATAACCCGCATATCAAGATTCAACACATCGGTCGAAAATACAACTCAAAAGTGAATTGGGTGGCCAGATCATGTGCTAAGAGCCAACTTCCCTCGCAATGGTTGCAAATTCTTGATATAGTTGCACCTCTCCTGTAATGGTTGGATTTTGCTTCAAGTAATGAAAATTCAGTGTCCTTTGTCAAAAAAAAAAAAAAAAAACATATCCTTTCTTGCTCAAGCATCACTAGGGCATCAACTACCCTCCCATAAATGGCTGGCTGACTAGTGAGTAGTGACTACAGAACATTTGGAGATTCGAGCTACCCACACATCTAATAAGAAAGATTATGCAACTGCTCAACTCCCTCGTAAAACCTTTTTCACTTGTGTGGTAAAGCAACAAATCAGGGGAAAAAAAACCAACACAAGGGAGACAAGGCTGGCCAAAAATTGATTGATAATTTCTCAAGATACATAACGTCTGTGTAAATCATCGTGATCATCAACATCGTAACTCTTAACAGCACAGGGTAGTTCCCAATACCTTAACCAATACCACTTGGAAAATTTCCCCCCGGACTTGAAATTTATATATATGCGAAGGTCCTCCAGAGTCCAGGCAGCAGACTCATCCCTCTTTCATTTCACCGCCAGGCAACCCGCTAGGAATAATTTACTGTTTCACTTTATTCCGAATGGATTCCCTGACAGAAAATATATATATATATGACCCCATTGCTCCTTCCTTCTACAGTCTATACCGACAAGAACTACATTCCTCCCTCAGCTTCTCTACTATGAACTGCTTTTCCATTTCTAGTCTAAAGAAAGGTCAAAAAAGAATATCTCACCTCCAATCCAATACACACTGATTCTCCTTCTCCCTTCGAGTCGCGCTCTTCTTCCAACACTAATAACCTCTTCGCTATGTATACAAAATCTCGCGATTGCTTTATATCACACCTTCTCTCCCCCCGTTTGATTCAGTCAAAACTTTGCTTCCCACTAGAAACCTTTTCTCTGGGGAGGGATCGATTACTGTCCGTGTGCGCACTGTACTTGAGTTAAAAAGTCATGGTGGTGTTTCAGCTATTAACAGTGCCTCACCGAGATATAATCACAGTAGGATTAAGCTTCGATGCTTCGAGGTGCAGGCAAAAACTAACAATTTCCACCACCTGTAAAAATATGCTTAGCTTTTACTAGTTCACAGCTTCATAGAAGAGAACCTGAGGTTGTAAATGCCCTCTCTGGCACATGCTAAGCACATCTGCCCAGTCACCGATTACCTAGAAAGCAAAATTGAATGCGTCACTATCCAGAGAAAGTAAAGCAGTAAAATGGACACGATATATCGTACCGCATTATCAACCCACCTTGACAGTTTTATCGTCATACATAATCCACCTTTCATAATCATGACTATATGCAAAGCAATGATAATGTTGTCCATAATAGCAGACCTGAAAGACATTAAGAGGCTTAGTGGAGATCAAGTTGCACCAAATTCTCGAGGTTAATATCATCCGTGATTACGAATACCACTCCATTTCCCTCGTTAGACTGGAATAGTTAAAACTCAACAGCAATACATACCACTGAAACCAAGGTATGCACATTCTTTGGATCCAAACCGCGGTAGAGGACACTAATATCAATCTCTGTACTTAAAGTCACCAAAGTGGCTGCTATGTCTTCAGCACTTTCACATGTATTTTGCCATCCCAACACTGCATACGGAAGATTAATGAGGCATTGGATTTTTTTTAATTTCTATAGGAGTTTCATCCTTGGGCAAAAAATAGAATTTCACATAACCACACTGAGACTTACCTGCCGTAAAGACATGTGGTGGAGTTGATAAAATATGATGAATGTAGTTGGGTTTCCCACAACCACCAGCCTCATGATCACAAGCTAATTGATGATTCATCTCTACAACATTTAAGACCTCATCGAAGGAGCTTTCGGAACACATCACCTGAATTGGGAACAAATCAAATCCATAACTACATTAGTAAAGTCCCAGAGCTGAAACCTACAACCACGGAAGAAAGTGAAGGAATTGTTTACTGGGAACACATACTTTGGTTGTTCTAAGAGAGCTGGCATTTATGTTATGAAAGAAAGATGTATACTTCAGATGCCTAGACTCCAAGCCACAACTGTAGCAATTCATTCTTTCAAATACGTCCATGCCAAATATAGAGTGGACAAGGCAGTTGTTGTTTGTGCAATCCCAAGATCCCATGGAATTACTTTCTACTGAATCGGAATCAGAGACGCTTGATCCCGATGTAAAAGCTTGATGAAGGCAATCAAATATTACAGCAAGCACTTCAGATGCGTCATTCATCTGAGCCTGAAAATTACCACCACATTACCGTTAGACTGTGATACAGATGCCTCTTTATGAACTAGTCTTGTGATGGAAAGGTGCAAAGTCCCCAAAGTGATATACAAGTCAACCACGTTTTGGGAACAGACATTCCTACTTTACCTCCTGGAAGAAATGACTATCTGGATAAAGGTTGCTCAAAGCCAGCCTCAAGGATGTAGGAGCAACAGCTTCTCTTCGGACATCTATAGATGCATGGCTTAGAGCAGAAAAAATATCGTACAATGCACAAACAACACATGGGTCTCCCACATGAAAATGCTCTGATATCGACCTCCTCATGAACTCACATCGAAACCGCCTTAAATGCCACAAGGACTGCGCATGTAGGAGAAACAACCAACAAAAATGTCAGACAACCAACTGCATAACCCTCATTGAACAAAATGATGCAGCAAGAGATGGACACTTTAGCGTGTTGAAATTACCTGTATAATTACATTCAGAAAGCAGTTGTATTCACCAACATCATTCTGAAGGCCAGTCCCAAACACATCAATTCCATTCTCATTTCCAACTGCAACCTCATTTTGCAAGGCATCTGAAGGTCTCGTCTCCAAAGTTGTCTTTGGTGGCGTTCTCAAGTTTGGAATGGAAGACGTGTTCTGGTGAACTTGTATGTCATCTAAAAGTAAGCAGAAATGCAAAATATACATGTAAGATATTTTAAGATCACAAAGAAACAGGCAAGCAATTACTGTTCTTTTCCCGAGGTTGAGTCAATGTTTGGTAACTTGTACACAGGCCAACGAACTTATATGGATACAGAGTTTCTTATAACAGCATTTCCATAGCAATAGCCTCGGGTCTAAGTGCAATAATGTGGATTACAAGAACGAATTGTGTATTTAGAATCATCTGATGAATCCGGGAAGAGTGCCACGGAAATCATGGCTTCTAAGGAGACGTAAAAGAAAACCAGAAGAAACAGATAGCGTGAAGTGAAATGATGGGACCAAAGTTATTACCCATTCTCAAAACAACTTGATACTGAACTAGATGCACTATGTTTCACTAAACAGATTAGCAACCACTGAAACTTGCTTCACCCAAGTTAACAAATACTTTAAATGAAACCTTGTAAACATACAATAGCAAGCTACTACAACAAACACTTTTCTCAATATTCAAATCCAGAGAAAGGATGCAAATGGAACCAGAAGACATAGAAGTTAGAAGCAATTCCAAAGCAGAAGATAGCAGAGAGTCCAGAACATTAATATTTTTCTTATACTGGCTTCGGTCAAAGCCTAACATCCACCCATAATCATAGAATGAGAAGGATCATACTGGTCAGCTCATTAAGCACAGATAATCTATCTTACCCAGACTTTTTTGTACAGCCTGTCTAAGGTCTTCCTGGAATCTTTCCTCGTAATCTTCCTCCACATGTAACTGTCTCAATGTCTTGGTTCCCGTATCTCCATAATTCAGATTAACTGGTTACAAACAGAAGCAAAATTAGGTCAGATTTCCAACTGCTAACACATTAGACAACATCCCAGGTCAGAAATGTGAACATCAACTAGGTGGTAACGAGGAGATCTTTATAATGCATGAATAGAAAAGGGCGAGAGCTTGCGGACTAACTTACAGTGCTTGCTGTTATACTATGCTTCATATAATACTACACCCTAGAGTTCAAGTGGAAGAGTTCATGTATATAGAGTCTAATTTTTTTATGCAAGCAATTCTCCTGTACAGGACTAAACTCTCCAAACCCCATATATCAATCTCTGTATCATATATGATATATTAGATTAGAACATATTTTGACAATTGCATACTGATTTTCTAACGCTTCACATATTTTGTAGCAAAAGCCAACTGTTTTGCTTTGAGGGATATAAACATTCAATAGGGCAGATTCAGACAATCACTAGCTCTTGTCATCTCTTGATAAAATTATAGAAGCATAATCAGGAAGATTTCCTTTCCTGACTCATTCTTGAAGGTAAATACAACCCTCAAGAACTTATTGTTTTTTATGTCATCGTGTTGCACCACGTCTAGAAATTCTGAGAACTAGTAGTATTAAATTCATTTAGATGCGCATTCAAAGAATCCTTGGGGGAACAGAAATTCATAGGCTTGATAGGACATACCACTCACAACAAGTGTATTTTCTTTCTCAGCTGATGTAAGCTGAGAATTGCTATCAACAGATCTGGAAGAGGTTTTCTGTCGCCTAGCTCTCCTCCCCGTCCTTCGTTCAGAACCTAGAACACCATTTTCTGTAGCAGCTCCATTAGGGAGACCTGCAAAATATAGACGATGCTCAAGTCACTTAATGTTAGAGTACCAAAGACCAAGTCGGAAAGAAAATAGTGCAAAACTTGGTGTAGTTTACCACTACGCCCATGACTAAGAACTTCAGAAGAAGATATTGGAGAAGATTTAATCAGCAAGCAGGAAGCATTTCCAGCAGTCAATTGTTCAACTTCGTTGTTGCTAGATAAGCCATTTGCCTCTCCTAACTGCTCCTGAAACTGTGAATTCACAAGGTTTTCTTCAATCATGTGATTTGGCTCAAAACATTAATTACAGAGGTCCTGCTAAGATTGATTGTACTGATGGCATTAATCAAAATCACTTATTCACAAAGAAACAGAACAGTCAACCCAGGCAACAATCCTTACCGAGGAATTCTGGCCATGAATAGCTGCTTTCTCATTGGAGACATCAAACTGGGTCTCAGTATGGTTATCTAGAAATGTCTTAGAAGCTCGCTTATGTTGCTGCCCAGCCAAGTGCTTCAGTTTTGCTTCATTCTCAATTCGCCTTTGGAACTCTAGAGTCTCTTCCAGCTTTCTTTCCTCCTCCTCTAGCTCAATTTTGCGACGAAATTCTTCCTCCTGCTGTCTCAGGTCCACACCATTTGCAGAAGGAAGAATCTCAGAACCTGGATCATCGTCTGGCGAGAGTAGAAAAGTGCTACAAGCAGGAAGAAACATTCAACGATAAATACAGGGTAACATCCTCAGCCACAAAGAGAATGATACGAGGACAACATGTAGTGAATAGCACTAATAGCAGCAGACTGAAACATGATGCAAAGCTCAGTCAGGGACAAGACATACTCCTGCTCAGTGGTTTCATCATGAAGCAACGGCAGCTCATTGCCAAAAGAAGTCTGCAATCACAGAAAAGTTAAACAATGGTAAGAGTTTGGTATTATATCTCCTACTTTAAGAACTAACAAGGTGGCCAAATGTTAACTTCAGACCTTAGAGTCCTTTGTCTTTTTCAACTCTTTGCTCTTTTTCCTGTCCTTCTTCTCATGTGGGTTTCTTGAAGTATCACTACCTCCTCGGGCAGCTTTTTTAGAATCTAGAGCAAGCTCCGCTAAAAATGCTTCTCTGGCTGCATCAGACTTTTCTGTGGCATCTTTCTCCGCGAGATCCTCTAAATGAGCCTGTTAAGAGAAGTGACAAGGTCACATATAACGAAGTCCATTCACAGATTGCAGCAGACATTAGTAAATATGAGTAGATTACAAACCCTCAAATAAGATTTCACAAGAGGCAATAGTATTGACTGATAGTCACATGCAGAAACAGGCTCAAGTTTGCGTTCTAAATGCTGCATCCCTGTCACAATTCTCATGATACGGGCGTCTATTTTGCTTAGCTGCAGTATAAAAAGCCGAAGTCACAAGAAAATACAAACAAAACAAAAACCAAAATCAGTTTCCATTAGGCATATGCATCTAGTGTCAAAACACTGACCTCAACAGATAACTGCTCTTTCTGTCCCTGGATAGCAACTTCAACGCAAGAATCCACTTGATGGATATAGTCTTTGCTTCTGCCATCACTATTTTCACCAGATTCAAGATCACATAATTGAGAAGCCATACCATAATTATCTTCATATCCAAATTGATTAACTGTCAAAGTTTCTGCCTCTTTTAGCACACTTGATATAATATCTAACTCGTACTTTCTGTCACTTAACAGACCATCATTCGCACTATTAACGGCATCATCTCTCCTCCTCCTAAGAATCGAATCGAAGCTTTCTACTTCAGACGGAGCCATATCCTCTCTCTTCTTAGCTTCTTCAAGAAGGAAATCCTCGAGACCTTGCAATGCCTCCTCATAGCTTAAATGGTCACATTTCCTCTCACAAAGGCTTTGCAAATGGTAAAACTCCTTTTCAAGAGTCTGAACAATGTCCATTCCTTGTTGTATTTTTTCTTCCTTTGTTCGTATCCATAACTGCAGTTGATCACTACTAGAGGGACCTAAAAATATCCATGTCAATAATGAATCGGTATCAGGTGGAACCAAGTTTTCAGGATTACCAGAGCTCGTGGTACCATTCTCCCGCGCACATTCAGAAGGCAATAGACTCTCGTCCAAGTAGAGAAATGTTCCATCGACACTAAGAACAAGATCCTCTTTAGACTCATATGTGTGAACCTCGCCATTTGTATCATCCAACGCGCTACCTATATCCGAATATCTGCCCAAACCACAAGCATGAGACAGATCCTGCAAGAACTTGAGGATCTTTCTCAGTTGGGATGCTCCAAGAAAGCAAATCAACATAGGTGTTCGGTCTAAACCATGGTTCAGAAGTTGAGAACCAGAAGGAAGGGTTTGCAACTCGTCCATCGTAAGTTGCATCACCTTGGTAAGATGGCTCATAGCAAGATACTTGTGACTAATAAGAGATTCAAATACAGCATGAATTTTCTCAAGAAGTTTCACCCTCTCAGAGTCCTCAGATAATGCCCAGTTGTCAATAGGATATGCCAAAGATCCTTGGTTGTCATCACATTCTCTACACTCAGCACCTGCACTTCTATCTGTATCCTTTCCTCCACTGCTGTTGTCACTACATCCATCCCTCATAATTTCCTTCTCTGGAGAAGAATCCCATGCATCCTTGAAGCAATCATCACACTCACCATCATGGTTTCCATGGAAAAGGTCCTGAACAAGCTCTGGCTCCTGGCATTTACCTTGATCTCCAAGCATACTAGCTGCAGAAGTGATGTCCAACGGTTTCCAAGAACAATTGATAATCATCTCACTCCACTCATTTTCAACAATTTGAGGCAAGACTGCCTGCATCTTGGGCACAAGATTACCCATGTGCTCTTGTACAACGTGATGTATAAGTTTCTCTGCTGTCGAGAACTTGTCAATGCACCTGCAACAAAGCCAAAACCTCCATCCAGTTCTCCCCTCTGCAAACGTTAGTGCCTCATTCAGGACCTCACTCGCTAACCCATCCTTTGACGAACCAAAATAACCCTGCAAATCACCTATTTTAACTTTCAACAAATTCTTCTTCATGTCTGTCTTCATTGAGTTCCAATATGAATGTACCGAGTCCTTCCTTTCCTTGTTAGTACCATTCCTTCTTGCATTGATCCCATACTTTCTCCTTTCTCCTCTCTTTTCACTTCCAGAGGATAACTCTACTCCCTTATCGTTACTCCTCTCCCCGTTATTATGTCCCAATGTGTCTGATTTCTGCTGCAAGAGTCTAGCAGCGGCAACTCTAACTTCAATCTCTTTCCTTCGCTCCTCTGGAGTCTTGGTAGCTTTTTTAATTTCATTAGGCCGTCTCGTCTGCACCAACCTAACTTCCATGGGGTCTTCCGTGGCACGTCGGATAGGAATCAACCTAATCTCCTCCCCTGTCCCTAAATTCTTCATCCAAGTGGAAATGGAAGCAATACTGGATTTCTGTTTCAAGCTCCTCAGCTCACCCTGCACATGAGCAATCCTGGCCTCAGCTGTGGTTATCTTGAGCTGACTCTCTTCCTGCAAACTCTCCTTGGCAGGATCAACAGGATTCAGTATCTCCAAAGCCCTATCACACTCCCTCATCACCTCCTCATACTCCTTCCCGTCATTAGCGACCTCGTAGAGCAAATTAGCATAGAAGTGGGAGAACTCAATCGAGTTGGGAGACAGCTCCACAGCCTTGCGGGCAGAATCGATGGCGTTCCTCAAATGCCTCTGTTTGGCGTTAGGGTCATCAATTATCGAAGCCATCTTCATACAAACCGTCCCTTGGACCCGGTAGATTAGGGCGGAGTGCGGGGAGTAGTCCCCGTGACGGGAACACGACTCCTTCATGAGCCGCAGCGCCTTGGTGTGGTTCCCCCGCCGCAGCGACGTTAGGGCTCGCTCGCATTCCAGCTTGATTGAGCCGGCGACCGAGACGGAACCGGCCCCGTCGAGTTCGAGAGAGCCTATAGCTGGCTCGATCTTCACAATCGACAGATTGTTGTTGGGATCAGGACAGACCTCAGCTTCATCTGCCGGCGCCGCAGCCACAGGCTGGTGCTTGGAGCGAGGAGCGGCAGCGCGCTTCTTGTGCCCCATGGAGAAATTCAACCAATCGGACTCACATGCAGAAACCAGCTAATACTCCCTTCTATTCCCCCGCGCGCGGACAAACACAGAGACAGAGAGGTTAACAATGAGCAGAAGAAACAGAGGAGCGACTTACTTGCTCCGGTTGAATAAATTTCTACAGGAATGTGGAGAGAGATAGTGGTATTTGGGAGTGGAGGGGAATACCGGAGACGGTGTCCGGCGGCCCAGGGCGGAAAAGAGGGGAAGCGATCGGCGACAAAATCTAGGGGAAGGGAAGAGTGAGATAAAAAGAGAGCGGGTGAGTGACAGAACAGAAGCGGGCAGGCACCTACCCACAGAGGAGAAGAGAAGGGAAGGAGGAATTGCAAACGAGGAAGAGAGGAGGAGAGGGAAGAGCCAGTGAGGGGGCAATTCGGTAATTGTCTGCGGTTTCAGGGGACACTGTTTTGGTAAATGAGCAAAGAATTGGGGAATTTGGCGGATTGTGGAAAGTTTTTTTTATATTTTTTTATAATTTATAATAGCATTGCAAATAAAATGAGTTTAGATCGATTTCTTTTTTTTTTCCCCTTGCATCGGTGGATTTGTTCCCGGGTTATGCAATTTTTCATTTAACGGTTATGGTTCCAATCATCGTATGATCCAATAGAAGATTCATCGTCATGCACAAAAAGTAAAGTGACTATTCCGTATTTGATAGGCGTTGGGCTAATAATTCTCAAGCTGTAACAACTTGTACAGTTGGCGTAACTACTTGTACAGCTGGAAGTGACGTCTAAAGTGGGAGGAAGTATAAATAGGGAGAGTGTTTTGTTATTGGCTATCTTTTGGACAAATCATTCTTCTGTAAACAACTTTACTCTTTAGATAGAAATAACATAGCTCAATCCCTCTTCTCCCAAACTCCATCTTCTACCTCCTTTCTCTTCTCTTCGCCAGATATCTCAGCACATCCAGGTCCTTACAAGTGGTAATCAGAGCCTTCAATTTGGCAATGGCTTCTCACACCTCTCGCATTGTTGATTTGGATTCTCAGCACCAGGACTTGAAGGCCGCCATTGCGGAGCTTGCAGCTTCCACGAAGGACAACATTGATGCACTGACGGCGTCCTTTGTTCGCAGTCGGGAGAAGTCTCTGATCCGTTCACCGCCGCATTCGCAAGCTTCCTTTTCCGATCGACAGCATCTCCGTGCTCAGCAACGACGACCATCGCTCTTGGATCACTATCCTCGCCTGGAGTTCTCCTATTTTTCTGGTTCAGATCCTCATGTTTGGGTGAGCAAGTGTAACAAGCTCTTTCTTCTTTACTCAATTCCGGAAGAACAGAAAGTCGATTTGATCTCGTACTATTTGGAAGGACAGGCGTATACGTGGTTTGAAGGCTGGTCTTTCCGACGTTTTCCGCTGATTTGGGGCCATTTCGTCGATGAACTTCTGCATCGATTTGAGAATCGTGAACAGCTGAATGTGGTAGTGGCATTCAATAAGCTCAAGCAGACGTCCACCGTTGCTCGCTACCAGGAAGAGTTTGAAGATCTTCGATCGCGGCTGCTTCGATTGAATCCAGAACACAATGAGCACTACTTCGTCTTGAGCTTTCTAGGAGGGTTAGACGATGAAATTCAGCCCCGCGTTTAGTTACTCAATCCACCGACCTTGGTGTGTGCTTTTTATCAAGCGAGATTGGAGGAGTCCGCCATCGATGCCCGCAAAAAGAAGATGTGTTTTGCTCCTCTTGGTAGGTGGTCTGCTTCTTCCTCGACCACTTCTTCACAGCGGGAGCAATCCCTTCCTTCTCCGTCGGCTGCTGAACAAAGCTCAATCCCTCGAGGGCAAGGGCTCTGCTACAAATGTGGCGACAAGTATTTCCATGGACACGTCTGCTCCAGAAAGAAACCATTACAAGTGATGCAGACTGAGGATCATACCAGTGATGGTGAAGATGATTTTCACGACACCGAATTGGAGGTATCCTTACAATCTATGGGTTCTGGCTTTGCTGGAAACTCTCTGCTCATTCCAGCTACATCTGACCGCCGCGAGGTAACAATTCTAATCGACACAGGAAGCTCTCATACTTTTCTGAATTCGATTAGAGCTCAGGAGTTGAACTGTGCATCTAAGAATATAGCACTAATGAGGGCGAAAGTTGCTAGTGGCCATACATTGTTGAGTGAATCGGTGTGCAGGGGATTTAGCTGGAAAATGCAAGGGGAAGAATTTGATTTTGATGTAAGAACCCTCGATCTCCCTGCTCATGACATGGTGTTAGGATGGGATTGGCTGGAAACGATCAGTCCATTTCAGGTGGATTTGAAGAGCAGGCAATTGTCATTTGATTGGAAGGGAAGGAACTTGACTTTGCAGGGGCTTACCAAGGAGGGTCAGTGTAAGATTATCTCAGGTCGTTCATTACAACAGCTCCTCAGGAAGTCCGAGCCTCAAATCATGGGGGCGGTGTTTTCCATTGATGCCAAGCCAACGCCAGCTCCCACCCCTAATTTCTTGAAACCTGTACTGTCTCAATTCCCAGATGTTTTTGCTGCTCCTACATCTTTGCCTCCCTCCCGCACTTTTGACCACTCCATTCCTCTACTCCCTAATGCTAAGCCTATCAACATCAGACCCTACCGTTTTCCCCACAATCAGAAGGTAGTAGTTGAGAAATTAGTAGGGGAGATGTTACAATCCGAATTCATCCAGGAGAGTCACAGTCCCTACGCGTCACCTGTTCTACTTATTGGGAAAAAAGATGGGACTTGGCGGTTCTGTGTGGGCTACAGGGAGCTCAACGCTGCTACTATTAAGGATAAGTTCCCAATCCCCCATATTGAGGATTTGATGGATGAGCTTCATGGCGTTATTATCTTCTCCAAATTGGACTTGCGCGCTGGTTATCATCATATTAGAATGCGGCCAGAGGATCAATATAAGGTTTCGTACACATTAGGGCCATTACGAGTTTCGAGTTATGCCGTTTGGCTTAACTAATGCCCTAGCTTCGTTGCAGGCCTTGATTAACCATGTGTTTGGGCAGTATTTGTGCACGTTCATTTTGCTTTTCTTCGATGACATCTTAGTCTATAGCAGGACAGCAGCAGATCACGAGACGCATATATTGCCCTACAATTACTACGACAACATCAGTTGTATGCTAAAGAGTCGAAGTGCTCTTTTGGTCAATCTCAGGTAGAATATCTGGGGCATATTATTAGTGGTAAGGGTGTTTCTACTGACCCGAGTAAAATTGCAGCGATGAAGGATTGGCCAAGACCTCAGTCTATTAAAGGGCTGCGAGGTTTTCTAGGATTAACAGGGTATTACCGCAAATTTGTCAAGCATTATGGTACTATTAGTCGTCCATTGCCTGATCTCCTACGTAAGAACGAGTTCACTTGGAATGAGGCTGCAGAGGAGGCGTTTGTTGCCTTGAAGACCGCTATGACTACAACTCCTATCCTGGCCCTACCCGATTTTACTAGGTCATTCACACTCGAGACTGATGCTTGTGGAGTGGGTTTTGGAGTTGTTCTTTCACAAGGGGGCAGACCCTTGGCTTATTTCAGTAAAGCATTATGCATCAAAAATCAAGGTCTTAGCACATATGAAAAAGATATTTGGCAGACTTAATGGCGGTCGATCACTGGCGGCATTACTTGGAAGGAAGGTCATTCATTATACTTACAGATCACGAGAGTTTGAAATTCTTAATGGGTCAAAAGGTGCATACTGCTATACAAAAGAAGGGGTTGGTCAAGTTGATGGGACTTGATTTCCAAATTAAATACAAGAATGGTAAATATAATGGGGCAACTGATGCTCTTTCTCGTGTTTCGACGATGAATTAGAAGAAGGGAAGTGTGGCGCCTTGACTTCAGTACTTCCAGAATGGTTGAGTGAGATTGAGCAGACTTACAGTAATAATGTGGAGGTGCGAAATTTGATAGCAGCAACTGTTGTTTCATCTCAAGGACCTTCTCTTTGGTCATTTTCTTTTGGTATACTAGGTTACAAGGGCGCCATTGTGATGGAATCTTCTGGGGCTATGAGACCCAAACTCTTACATCTCTTCCACTCTTCTCCAGTTGGAGGGCATTCAGGAGCACATATCACCGTATTAAATCTTACTTTTATTGGCCAGTTCTGAAAGCAGCAGTGCGGCAATGGGTACTGGAGTGTGATGTTTGTCAACTCTGTAAGGCAGAAACAGTGGCCTCTCCTGGGTTGCTTCAGCCACTTCCTGTTCCGTCACGAGCTTGAAAAGAAGTGAGCATGGATTTCATGGAGGGTCTGCCGCTGTCCCATGGAAAACAAGTACTCTTAGTGGTGGTCGATAGGTTTACCAAGTCATCACATTTCTTTGGATTAAAGCATCCATAAACAACGACCGAGGTTGCTCAAATCTTCTTCGACGGCGTCTTCAAGTACCATGGGATTCCTTCTACTATAGTTTGTGATCGCGATGCTACCTTCACAAGTAAACTCTGAACTGAGTTCTTTCGCTTGCATCGCACTGATCTTCATTATTCGACAGCTTACCACCCACAGACTGACGGTCAGACAAAGCAAGTTAATCGATGTCTTGAGGATTATTTGCGATGTATGATTTTCCACAGGCCTCAGGATTGGGCGGAGCGGCTTACACTTGCTGAATGGTGCTACAACACCCACTTCTACATTAGCCTGCTGATGTCTCCATTTGAGGCGTTGTGTGGTTTCCCTCCAGCCTTCTTTGGACTTGTAAATCATCTCTCTTTTTCAGTTGGTGCAGTCGAAGAACGTGTTACCCAGCAACAACAGCTTGTTCAGTTGCTGACTCACAACATTATCCAGGCACAGAATCGGCAGAAACAGTACGCGGACAAACGAAGGTCTGAGAGGATACTCCAGGTGGATGATTGGGTGTATCTACGTTTTCAACCTTATCGTCAAGGCTCGGTGGTGGGTAGGCATGGCAACAAATTAGGACCTCGTTACTTTGGTCCTTATCGAGTTCTTTCTTGGG